CCTCCCCTCTCCCTGCATGCCTGTTGGGCTTTCCCTGTGGCTCTGGTGGGGCAGAGGCTGGATCTTTCCAAGGGCCCCTGTAGCTTGGGCTCTGGGCAGGAACTTTCCCCAGCCCACATTCTCTGGCTCCTACTGCCACAGCTGCAGCTCCATCCAGGTAGCAGGGTACACTGGGCGGGTGGGGCCCGGGGAGGTGGTATGTAGCACCAGGCTAGTTGGAGCCCTGGTTATCCCTCCACTCCCAGGCCCAGCTCTGACCCCAGGGTCAGAGCCTAAGCCAGTGTCTCTGCCTTGCTCACTCCTTTCTCTGTGTGTGGAGGTTTTTTTCCCCTCACCTCAGCCCTGCAAGGTGAGAGGAAGTTGGAAGCTGTTGAGTTTAGCTGCTCTGAAGGGGAATATGGAGCAGAAGGGATGGCCCACCCCAGACCTGGTGGTCCAGGTCAGCTTAGCCAACACTTGATGAGCACCTGCTGTGTCCAGCAGGCACATCTAGGGAGAGAGCGTGCAAACAGGCCACGCCACACCTGGCTCAGCACTGGCCTGTGGGTTCGGCTAAGGAGAGGTCTGGGGAGACTCCTTGGGTGGGGGTTCCTTAGGTCTGCCCCTTGCAGGGAGTTTGGCAGGATGGAGGGCAGGGCCTGGGGAGTGGTGTGGAGGTGCAAATGTGGAAGTGCCTTGGGGCTGGAGAGCAGGGCTCAGTGGGTGGGGGGCCATCAGGCTGGGCCAGTGGGCTGGGCTATGGCATGAGGCTTCTATCTGGATGTGGGGGAAGTGAACCCCAGGGAGAGTCTCCAAAGCCTCCCCTGGCCCTGCATGGCCTCACCCCACCCATCCGGGCAAGCAAAGACCTTGGATGAGCCCTGGGTATCCCTGGCTCAGAGGCCCCCTCCCTTCCTCTGCAGAGTGAGGAAGATGAGCGGGAGGAGTCGGACTTGGATAGTGCCAGCATCCACAGCTCCTCCGTGCGCTCTGAGTGCTCTGCAGCCCTGGGCAAGAAGAGCAAAAGGCGGCGCAAGAAGAGGAGGAGTGAGTGGGGCTTCCTGTTGCAGGGCTTCAGGCCCTCCTGGTAGATATGGGGGCATTGCCGAGCCTCCCCTGGGGACGTTGGGAGGCATCTTCAGGCCTCAGCCTCCCCTGGTCTTGGCCAGGAAGATGCTCTGTTGTTCCTCAACTGCCCTGGTCTCTTCTATCACAAGAGAGGGGTGTCCTGAGGGAGAAATAGGACCCTTGGTGTGAGCCACCAGGGGTCTGCGCTGGCAGGTAGGGCTGGAGAAACTCATCCACTGGCCACCCTGTCACCCACCCCGTTCCCCACCACCAACACCCCTTCATCCTCTCACCCCCTAGTTTCTTCCCTCTGTCCCCTTTCCTCCCTCTCTTTTATCTTTCTGTCCATTTTTCTGTTCCTTCATCCACCTTTCCCTCCTTTTCCTTATATCTATCTTCCATCCATCTCCTCGCTTTTCCTATCTAAGCCACCCCCAGCATT